ACAGACACACAGACACACAGACACACAGACAGCACATCGGTAGCGATATATCCAGGGATGTATTTGAAAAAGATATTTGAAACGAATTTCTTCTTCTTTGCATTTACTAGTTGAACTCTCTGGGGGGAAGTTCTGGTGGTTCGCCCACTTCTAGACTTTTATCTTTCCAGAGCATGCGTTTTGCGTTCATATCCGTATAACATGTTTGGCTTATTTGAAGGCAGACTGTTGGTTCCTTTCCTGTCGTGGAGGTGCACACTAACTTTGATGAAAACACCATTAATTAGTCAATGTTTGCGACAGAGTGTTAGAGAGAATTGGGTCTATTTATCTGTCGCCTAGATGTGATATATTTGTTCCTCATTTATCTTGGCTGTCAGATCGGCCTGGGCTCAAATATGCACCAGGTAATATCGTGGGAGGCAAGGGCGCTGGCGTGATACTGCCAATATCAGCCCCTAAGTGCCGATTGTTCTACACACACACAATTTGTCTAGAACAATGTTTTTCAACTTGACTGACTGACTGACTGACTTTCTACCCCACCAGGACATCACACTAGCGATAAACACCCGATGACACAATGTGTCACCATGTGGATGAGGATCACCGTGGAGAGGTCCCAGAAACCGCGTTTAGCCAATTGACCATAGTTATGGCCTGGCTATATTGCGGCCCCTGGCAAGAGCCAGAGTGGGGCTTCATATAACAAAAAATTTCATCCTAAAAAGGACGGAAAGTAGTGTGCAAATACACACATTTTCAACTTGAGCGTTCGTTCCTTATAAGGCGCAAGGAGGATTCAGCGGGCGTCAGGAAATTTCAAAACTGAGTGCATTTGTACTTGTAATAATCTGTTGTCGGGGGCTGCATGGTCTCGATGCATGGCGTCTGCCTCGGGGTCTGGAGGTCCAGGGTTTAAGCCCTGACGAAGGCTGGGATTATTTAACTTGGACTTCTAGTAATTTCCTCTGTTCTCTGTGTAATAAGATCGGACGTCGTGTGTATTGCTGCGCACGTAAACAAATCCCTTGGTAGTTGCAAATCGAAAAAGAGTAGCCTAACGGCGCTGCCCAGGCAAAAATGTGGAGTTCAAAATCTACCCAAAGTATTTCAGAATCCTCGCCGGTCCTACGGAGCTCCTTCACTGCGATGAGATTCTTCTGACTAAGGCTTGAGTCAGAAGTAAAACGAAGCACTTATGGGTTACTACCCGTGTGCCATGATGTTATCCGTCATCTAAATCTAAACCTAATAATCTGTTGTGCTTACTTTTATTTTTTAGTTTAGATACGGGTCTAAAGAAAAGTATGATTTGAAACTACGTATGAAACAAATACTCACAGAACGTGGTCATTTGATACTTTCATTTATATGAATGTTTTTCTCTATGTTCTTGTCTCTAATGCTTAAGATTTGTTTTCTTTTTGTCCATCTTCTTTTTTTTTTAAATACATTTTCTTAAACGTTATTGGGTGAGGTAAAGGAGATAAAAACCTCTGCTGTAGAATCGATACCCGATCAGCCGCTGTTGTAAAAAAGGGTCCTTCCTTCCCTTGTTTTTCAAACCACTGTCTAGTTTTCTAATATTCGTCAAGTTTTCGAATTTATTCCTTCCCATAACCTGTCTAAAACAGATGTAAACTAGCATGTTTCAAATATATCAAAGAGCGGTTTAATCCGTATTTACAGCGGAGCATCAAAGGCTGTAGGTCGCAAAACACACTGAATTACACAATAAATTGTGTTATCCTGGGCCTCAGATTGACAAGATTGAAGTTAGTGGCGAGCAGAGTGAAGTTAGAGAAGAGGGCGGTTACATTCAAAGAGTGGTGGAGTGGGTGCTTTTAGTGTTTATGTGAGTGAATATGTGGATTTCCATGCAAAATCGTCTGCTAAAAATCATCATCGCCAAGCCAAGAGGTAGTCCACATTGGTTCTCGTTGCTTGTTGTGTGTAATTTTTTTTTTTTTTCTAGAAGTTGTTTTTGTTCTGAAGTACTGACTATAAACATAGATGTTACTGTTTGTCTGTCTGCCTATCTGTCTGTTTGTGACAGGAGTCTATGTTCGTCTATCTATCTTTATAGAACTGGATGTATACATATGTCTGCATATATTAAAAAAGTATCTGTCTGTCTGTCTGTCTGTCTGTCTGTCTGTCTGTCTGTCTGTCTGTCTGTCTGTCTGTCTGTCTGTCTGTCTGTCTGTCTGTCTGTCTGTCTGTCTGTCTGTCTGTCTGTCTGTCTGTCTGTCTGTCTGTCTGTCTGTCTGTCTGTCTGTCTGTCTGTCTGTCTGTCTGTCTGTCTGTCTGTCTGTCTGTCTGTCTGTCTGTCTGTCTGTCTGTCTGTCTGTCTGTCTGTCATGTTGTCTGTCTGTCTGTGTCTGTCTGTCTGTCTGTCTGTCTGTATGTCTGTCTGTATGTATGTATGTCTATCTGTCTATCTGTCCTGTCTGTCTATATATATCTGTCTGTCTATATGTGTATGTATATATATATATATATATATATATATATATATATATATATATTGTGTGTGTGTTTGTGTGTATCTATCTGTGTATCTATGTATGTAGGAATGTATGTATGTATGGGTCGGTTGATCAATATGTCGATCGGTCGATTCATCGGTCTGTCCTTCTGTCCGTCTGTTCCTCCGTCCATGTGTATGTGTATATATCTTTCTTTGATCGGTCTATCTATCTATCTTTATGTATCTGTAACATTTATCTGTTTGCTTACCACATCTTGATTTTGCTTCTTTTTTTTTTTTTTTTTCCTTAATTAAACTAAACAGTGTGCTTACCCCTTCCTTCCGCCTCCCTTGCAGTTTGTTGCCCACCCTAACTGTCAGCAGCTATTGGCCTCTCTATGGTACGAAGGTCTGCCAGGTTTTCGGAGGAGGTCCATCCTGTCCAAGCTGGCCATTATGGGAACTATCGGCGCCATGTTTCCTGTTCTGTCGATCATCTATCTGCTGGCGCCCAAGTGCAGCATCGGCCAGTTCGTGACCAAGCCCTGTGTGAAGTTCATCATTCACTGCACGTCTTACATTGTTTTTCTATGTAAGTATATACGTTTTTTGTTGACGTGAAGTACACACGTCGTTTATTGTATAGTGCGTTCCATAATTCTTGGCCAGCTTTTAAAATCTTTAACCCAGTAATCACTCAGGAAAAGTTGGCCTATTTGCGGCATATGATAATAAAAAAAACAAGACAGACAACGATTCGAAGGAAACAATTAGCATGCCTGATTTAATGAGAAACAGAAGCTTTTCAAATCATCAGATTATACGTTTCATATGTGCTTCCTTTCAGGTGATCATTTCCAGCATTAGAACCCAGTGAGTTACATGAACACAATTTTTCATTTTATGCGGGATAGGCTATCAAAAAAATCCCCACGCATTGCTGATTTCCAAACAATCTCCGCGCGTGCAAATCACATTCAAACAAAGATCAAAAGTATTCGCATCTTTAGAAATTAGCAGCACCTGTGCATTTTAAATGAATAATTTCATAAGGGCAGTGGAAATCTAAGGCCGTATGCAAAAATCTGGGTTGATCCACATAAGAATTTTCCAGATGTCTATTGAAGTGTGAGGGTATGACTTTTGAAACGCACCATGGCATATTGATGTACACGGTAATTTGTTTTTGTACCGACGTCAGTGTTGTACACACGTCATTTGCTGTAATTCTTTGCGAGTATTGTAATAAAAGGCATGGTTGCAAAAAGAAGGAGGAGGAGGGGGAGGAAAAGAAGTAGGAGGAGGAGAAGAAAAAGAAGAGGGAGAAGAAGAAGAAGATGGAGAAGAAGAAGATGGAGAAGAAGAAAAAGAAAAAGAAGAAGAAGAAGAAGAAGAAGAAGAAGAAGAAGAAGAAGAAGAAGAAGAAGAAGAAGAAGAAGAAGAAGAAGAAGAAGAAAAGAAGAAGAAAAAGATGCGAAGGAGGAGAGGAATAAGAAACGTGGTTGTTCAATGTGTAGATGGGTAAAGTACCTGTATCCATCGTCTCACTGGACAAACAGTTCTGTTTTTATCTTTGTCATTGCCTAACTGGGGCATTAGTACAGACATAACAATAATCCGATCGTTTTAACAGATAATGTATGTACATGGTCAGATTTGAACTCTTAGTCTATTCGCAAAATTATGATTTCCTTTCCCCTTAAAAAATGTAAGGACTTAACTCTCTCTGTCCGGTGTTGACTCTTTACGATTTGCTTTGAGCGGGCTAGATCAGTTTATTTAGACATTTTAAGACCACTGCACACTTGCCTGTTTGGAAGTCACACCTTCAAATCTTTGTAGGTAAAGCCTTTCTGAGCCGTCTGCAACAGAATCGGGTTTTCCCCTTAAATTTACCCTATTTCGCCGAATCCGAGATTTTATGGGAATTTCTGGGAATGACCAATAGTGTAGGGGTGTTAGGGTGTGAAATGATCACCAAATAAACATAACCCCCAATTCCCCCCTCCCCTACCCCCTCCTCACACACACACACACATATATATATATATATATATATATATATATATATATATATATATATATATATATATATATATATATATATATATATAATACTGGATTTTTCTAGCACGAAAACTCGGAGGTCCCGAGATGGCGTGAAATCAAAGAAAAGAACCACAGAATCTTCTAGTACAGAAAGCGATAAAATAGCTTAAGCTCCGTCGCCAGTGGATGCACTAGCAAATGACTGTTGCAAACGTACATCTCTTATTCATCAAACCGGCAACACTACTGCTGACGTACGGACTCTAAAATGAAAACAAATGGAGCTCTATCATCACATAGTTTGTTTTGAATTTCTGAAAGCTTCGTGACGGTTTGATATTTTGTTTTGTTATCCTGGAGCGGAATGAAGCATACGTTTAATTGGAATACTGTGCATTAGTGTGTTATTTTACAACTTGTCAGCTAATTATATACAGTGGTACTTAATCCGCTCCTGATCCTTGGACGTATACCAAACAGTACCTTTACTAAACAGTGCGTATAACAGACAATTTTCCCCACATGAAATATACGGGGGGGGGGGGAGGGGACAACAATTCTATTGTTATTGGTACATTATACGTTAATGCGGTTGTATACGTTTTTTAAAATACTGTCTAATACTTAAATGTGTGCCAACCAGGGGTAAACTAGACATGGAACACTCTGTCACAGAAATTGGCGTAGCAGTTGATGGGCTTCCTTCGAAGAAGGTCCCAGGATACGACGGTATCCTGCTTGAGGTCCTGAAATTGCTCATAGGCTGCTATGCTTCATGAGCTGCACAAGTACCCCCGCCAATGTTGGCGAGAAAAATTAGTGCCTTAGAATTTGAGAGATGCCAATATTATAACTCTCTATAAAATCAAGAGTGACAGAAGTGATTGCAGCAACTATTGTGGCATCTCTCTGTTGAATTTTTTGGGAAAAGTCTTTTCTCGTGTTATCCTGAAGAGGTTGCAAATTCTAGCCCAAAGAGTATACCCGGAATTACAGTGTCGGTTTAGGGCCGAGAGATCACCATTTGATGTGGTCTTCTCCATCAGGCAGCTACAAGAGAAGTGCAGAGATCAACACTTGATATAATCTTTTCCACCAGGCAGCTACAAGAGAAGTGCAGGAGATCAACACTTGATATGATGTTCTCCATCAGGCAGCAACAAGAGAAGTGCAGAGATCAACACTTGATATGATCTTCTCCATCAGGCAGCTACAAGAGAAGTGCAGAGATCAACACTTGATATGATCTTTTCCATCAGGCAGCTACAAGAGAAGTGCAGAGAGCAACACTTGATATAATGTTCTGCATCGGGCAGCTACAAGACAAGTGCAGAGATCAACACTTGATATGATCTTTTCCATCAGTCATCTACAAGAGAAGTGCAGAGATCAACACTTGATATGATCTTTTCCATCAGTCAGCTACAAGAGAAGTGCAGAGATCAACACTTGATATGATCTTCTCCATCAGGCAGCTACAAGAGAAGTGCAGAGAGCAACAGAGGCCACTGCTTGCCTGCAAAGATTTCACTAAGGCCTTTGATTATTTCAGCAGAGATAGTCTGCTCAAGATCCTTGATAAATACGAATGCCCACCCAGACTACTAAGTCCAATTAAATCCTTCTACGAGAATATGCAGAGAAGCAAAATATATGAGGATTCATCGTCTTCACCCTTCCAAATTCATAACGGAGTTAAGCAAGAATATGTTCTGACTACCACGCTGTTTGGCATCTTTTTTGCTGCATTTTTTAGGCTTGCATTCGGGACAGCCATCAAAAGTAAATATCTCCGTTTGAGGTCAGATGGCAATATTTTCAATCTGTCTAGGCTACGTGCAAGAACGAATGTGCAGACAATATGCCTGAGGGATTTTTTTTAAAATTTCGAATAAGGCAGCCATTGTGACACATACAGAGGATGATCTGTAGATCCTCATGAGTCGCTTTGCAAACGCATAAAAAGAATTTGTTCCTAACATCAGTCTTAACAAAACGCAGGTGATGAGAATGGATGTTGAAAATCCACCAAACATTAGTGTTTATGACCCTCTGCTGTTGGCTGTACATATGTCTGAGTACTAAGCCTCGCGAATCTCAGGCGATCATTCCCTAGATGCTGAGACAAGTAGACGTATAGAAAAAGCCTCTGCAGTGTTTTCCAATCTCAGTCTGGTCAAACGAAAAGCAGACTGATAATACAAAATGAAAGTTTATGAGTCTTGTGTCTTGAGCACACTAATGTACGTTAGCGAATCCTGGACTCTATATGCTTCTCAAGAACATAGACTGAATACCTTCCACTTGCGCTGTCTGTGTGAGGCGCATCCTTGGTAGATCCTCGCAAGACCTTGTCTCCAACGAATGTGTACTCACAAGAGCATAGATACCATCAGTGTATTGTCTACTGAAGCCAAGACATCATCGCTGGTTGGGACATGTCTCCCTCATGGAGGATGGTCGTAACCCAAAGGACCTCCTAAACTGAAAACAGTGATTAAACATGGAGGAAGACCAAAGCTACGTTATAAATACATATGCAAACGTGATCTGATAGATACCACCATAGGCACAGAGACTTGGGAAAAATAAGCTGCAGAAAGATTACTAGAGCGACAGAAAGGGGAAGACAGATTGTCGCATTTTCAAAGAAACCAAACGCAGCGATCTACAGAGAGGAGAGGCTGGAGAGTAAATCAGCCTCATAATAGCTTAATGTATCCACTTGTTTAGGTAACCTGTGTGACAGAGACCGTCACTTCCGCATCGTACTAGACGCTCACAGCAGATGCTATTCCCAAAGCCAACGGCACATCTCCATTAGTCCCCAGGGACTGACGGATGTCAATAATACTTAAATGCACTAATACAAAAACAATATTTATAAAAGAAATGATAATTTAACTTCACTTTAACTTTCTGACCCCAAACAATCCAGTGTTTACCAGGATGGCACTTAGAATGGTGGAGGAAGAAATGTTGTTTTATAGAAGAGTGCCCTTCCAATAAACCTTCAGCAATCTGAAATTCTTGTGTTTTTTATTTCTTTTTTTATTTTTAATAATACTCTTCTTTTTTTTCGCTACTTGAATCTTGTTGAGGCTCATCATTATCATCAAGTGTCTTGCCAGCCTGCGTAGGTGTTCATGCGTCGCCACAGATCTCGGTCTTTGGTGTTCTGGATCAATTCTACTGAAGATATTTCTCCATGTCACTGTCTTAAGCCCTCCACCATCTTTCTCTTGGTCTGCCTCTGCCTCTCCTACACGTGATCGGTCCTGTCGTCACGATATTTTCTAGTGCTCCTTTTCTCATCACATGACCAAAGAACTTTGTTGGTGGCCTTCTCAGTAGTGTTTATAATGTTCTACTTTCAGTGGCCATTTCCAAGCATTCAATGTTGGTTATTCTGGCAGTCCAAGGTATTCTCAACATTATTCTCAAGAAGCACATCTCAGTGCCTCCAAACTCTTCTTAATTTGTTTGCTCACATTCCAAGATTGACTACCACACAACAGAACAGGCTCGATATAACATTTTAATACTCGTTTTCTG